GGGATAATTGTTACATTCTTGTGTCCTTCTGTTCACAGTTACGACGGAGTGCCTTTTCTTATGCATGACCAGACGTTACGAAGAACGACCAATGTCGAGGAAGTATTTCCAGAACTTGCTTACGATCATTCCTCTATGTTCAACTGGACTGATTTGGAAAGATTGAATGCAGGCAAATGGTTCCTCAAGGTGTGTAAGTAAGTAGTAATATTATGTCCAGTTGGTGGTTAAAGGTAAAAGGTAAAGGTTCCCCTCTGTGCTAGTCGTTCCCGGCTCTAGGGGGCTGTGCTCATCTCCGTTACAAAGCCGAAGACGTCTCCATGGTCATGTGGCCGGCATGACTAAATGCTGAAGGCGCACAGAACACAGTCACCTTCCCACCAAAGGTGGTGCCTATTTTTCTACTTGCATTTTTTACATGCTTTCGAACTGCTAGGTTGGCAGAAGCTGGGACAAGGAACGGGAGCTCACTTCGTTACGCGGCCCTAGGGATTTGAACCGCCGACCTTTCTGATTGACAATCTCCAGCGTCTTAGCCGCTGAGCCACCGCGTCCCTTTTCAGGAGTTGCTGGTTACCACTCTTGACAAGAGATGTAGTAAAGCTAGAGAAAGTGTTGAGGATCACAACTGAGACAGTTGCCTCTGTGGCAAACAGACCAAACAAAACAAAATGGCCAACAGTCTGTGGCAGCAGCCCCTCAAAAAGCGAATACAATACAGGTCGTGCTCAACGACCACAACGAAGCTCAAAATTGATGTTGCTAAGTGAGAACTTTTGGGAAGTAAGCTAAATAAGTTTTGCCACATTTTTAGACTTTTTAGACGCTGCAATGGTCGTAAGTGTGAAAAACGGTCGTAACTTCACTTTTTTTCAGTGCCGCTGTAAGTTTGAACAGTCACTAAGTGAACTGTTGTAAATCGAGGACTTGCCTATACTAGGTTGCATTAACAGAGGGATAGAATCAAGATCATGCAAAGTAGTAATACCACTTTATAAAGCCTTACCAAGACCACACTTGGAATATTGCATCCAGTTTTGGTCACCCCAATACAAAAAAAAGATGTTGAGATTTTGGAAAGTGTGCAGAGAAGTGCAACAAAGAAGATTAGGGGGCTGGAGGCTAAAACATATGAAGAATGATTGTGGGATTGGGTATGTGTAGTCTAGCGCAGGGGTTGCCAACCTTTTGGACCTCAGGGACCACCAAAGTCATAATTTTAAATGCCGCGGACCAGAGACCAGGGGTGGAATTCTACCAGTTCGTACCTATTCGCTAGAACCGGTTGTTAACATTCTAAGCAGTTCGGAGAACCGGTTGTTAGAAGAAATTACTGGGCTAATCCTGTAAGGAAGGCAGGAAGGAAACATTCTGGTGTTGCTTACAGAAACTGCCTCTCCGTTAACCCTTATTACATTCTTGGCAGGACTAGACTTCCTGTCTCAGGAACGTCTCTGGAGTTTTTTTCCCCTCCTTTGCTGGTACTTTGCTTGCGTGGAGGGACCATTCAAAGTTACAATGGCACTGAAAAAAGTGACTTATGACCGTTTTTCACACTTACGTCTGTTGCAGCATCCCCACAGTCATGATAGGCCAGACAAGAAGATGCATGCCTCGATGTGAGTGATATTGTGTCGGCCACACCCACCAACTAAGCCACACCCACAGAACTGGTTGTTAAAAAATTTGAATCCCACCCCTGCCAGAGACCCTGGGAAAATCCCCCCAAAAGTCTGCAGGAAAATCCCCCACCCCATTTTCCTACCGATCAATTGTTCTTTATTTGGGATTGCAGGATACCGTCTGTTAGTGTTTGGGGATAAACCCCCGAGCTGAGTGCACAGCAGCAGTCAAGCCAGGCAGCCAAATGAGAGAGAGGCTGGGCCCAAGAGTATACACACACTTGAGACAAAAACACTGTTTGTGGTTTTTAAATAGATATTTAATTCACACAGAGATTAAGAAGAGTCATTCAGTCCATATGTCAGTATCCAGTATATCTATCCAGTTACCTAGTCTTTTAAACAGTAAATACAATGTCTTTATCTGCTTGTAAATCTTCTTCTTCTGATACCTTTCTCACAAAGACAATGCTGAATCCACAGCTCACCAAGCAAACAGTCCTTGTGTTCAGTTGAGAGAAGTATCTTGCACAGTAGACATCTCATACAGGAGTGAACAGTATTAGGCAGACAGACAGCAGACAGACCAGAGATCAGTAACACCAGGAACCAGGAACAGGAACTCGAAACCAGGATCAGAAACCAGGAAGTGTTACGTCTCTCTCACTGCCTATTATTGCAGCTTGCAACCACACCCATAATTATGCAATGACATTGCAGTTTGGAGCTTAAAGTTGCAAACACTTACACCTAGGTTTTATATATTCATTCACCCAAACCAGTTGGTGTATTCATATACCCAACACCGTCTCCAGCTCCGTTCTCGGGGAGAGAGAGAAAGACTTTTGGCTTCATGCAAGGAAATCAGCAGAAGCCGCAGAAGTCTTTCTTTCTCTCCCCCAAACTCTGCCAGAAATGAGTCCTTTTGAGACTTGTTGCACCAGCACAGCCTCTTGGAGCAGGAGGCCTTGCAGGGTCCCAGAGACTTTTTTCTTCTATCTGGGGAGGGGGTGGGGTGGGGGGCTTCCTTCCCTTCCCTGCTTAACCTAAGGTGAAACTGATGTCTGTTTCTGAGCTCCTGAGTTTCTGCTCTGCTCTGAACCTGTAACATGTCTGCTTCTGTTTGAGTTTGCTCCATGTTGGAGAAATCTACAACTGGTCTTGTAAAATTGACTTTATGTGTTTATAAAGAAGTTAGATGAAGCCTCGCCCATCTGTGCTTACTTTTTCTGGCGCTGAATGTATGCTGCAGTACTCTGAACACAGTTGCCTTTTGGAGAAAGCACCTGTGGGTCAACCGCGGCCTGGATGATCTTCAAAGCACATCATTTGCAATTCTCCCCACAGAATGACCCCTTCTGGACAGTCAGCTCCTTTTCCCCATCTGACTTCGTAAAAGCTGCCAACCAGTCGGTCTGCAAACTGACCGAGATGCTGGAAACCATCAAGGACAACACCACCGTCCTCTTGAACCTTCAGGACTTGCCCGAAGATCACCCGTATTACGCCACTTCTGTCAACGTCACCCTGAATACCGTCCTCACCTCGGGCATCCCTCAGCGGGCTGTGAGTTGTGCGGGAATTTTGTGGGTAGCATTTAGCAATAGCAATAGCACTTTAGAGTTATATACCGCTCCACAGTGGTTTCCAGACCCCTCTAAGCGGTTTACAGAGTCGGCATATTTGCCCCCAATAGCAACCTGGGTCCTCAATTTAGCGACCTTGGAAGGATGGAATACTGAGTCGACCTTGAGCTGGTCAGGACCAAACTATTGACAATGGGCAGAGTTAATCTGCAATACTCCTTCTAACCATTGCGCCACCAGGGTCCCTTCCTTCCTTCCTCCCTCCTTCTTTCCTTCCTCCCTATCTCCCTCCTTCCTTCTTTCCTCCCTCCCTCCCTCCCTGTCTCCCTCCTTTCTTCCTCCTTTCCTTCCTCCCTCACTACCTGTCTCTCTTTCCGTCCTCCCTCCCCCCTTCCTCCCTGTTTCCCCATCTCCCTCCCTCCCCTCCCTCCCCTTCCCTCCCTCTTTCCTTCTTTCCTTCTTTTCTCATGTCTCCCTCCTTCCTTGCCTCCCTCCCCCTCTTCCCTTCCTCCCTCTCTCTCTCTTTCCTCCCTCCTCCCTCCCTCCTTCCTTCCTTCACAACAGCAATAGCACTGAGACTTTTCCAGAGCCAGCTTCGTGCTCCCAGCAATTTGGCTCCTGCTTTCTAAGCACTGCACCACCACGGCTGTGCCAGGCGGCTGCTGGACAGACTTCAGGGCTTCTGTATCGGTGCCAGCAAACATTAAATCAAAAAATCCAAAGCAAAAGGATAGATGGATAGATGGATAGATCGAGCAACTTGGCTTTGACAGACCCACAAGGACGACTAGAGTTGTAGAACATTCCTGGGAAGAAGTGGCTCTGCAGAAAGGGTTGCACTTCGCTCTTGCTTCATTTAACGACCGGCGTAAATGCAGGGGATCCTTGACTTCCAATCATAACTGAGCCCAACATTTTCACTGCTAAGCAGGACAGTTGTTAGGTGAGTTTGGCCTAAGTTTACCACTTTTCTTGCCAGGTTGTTAAGTTAGTAACACTGCAAGTGTCACGTTAGTAGTACGGTCGTTAAGTGAATCAGAAGGTCACAAAAAGGGATCACGGAACTGTCATAAATATGAGTCAGTTGCAGAGTGTCCAAATTTTGATCACGTAACCATGGGGATGCTACAACAGTCATAAGTGTGGAAAACAGTCACCAGTCCCTTTTTTCGGTGCCGTTGTAACTTCGGACAGTCGCTAAACAAATGGTTGTAAGTTGAGGATTACCTGTACTAACCTGTTTGTCCTGCTAATGTCGGTTAAGTGTTCCCACATAAGTTTCCAAAACTCCAGCTAAGGCATTAGCATATGTTTGAGTTGTTTTGGAGAGGTGAGCTATTGCAGCTCTTAACTTCTCCAAAGCAGGGGTCGCCAACCTTTTGGACCTCAGGGACCACCAAACTCTTCATTTTAAATCCCGCAGACCAGAGACCCTGGGAAAATCCCCCCCAAAAAATCTGCAGAAAAATTCCCCACCCCCCATTTTCCTACCGATCGATCATTCTTTACTTGGGATCGCAGGATGCTGTCTCCAGATCCATTCTCAGGGGGAGAGACAGAGAGAGACTTCTGGCTCCATGCAAGGAAAGCAGCAGAAGCCGCAGAAGTCTTTCTTTCTCTCCCCCAAACTCTGCCAGAAATGAGTCTTCACAGCCTCTTGGAGCAGGAGGCCTTGCAGGATCCCAAAGACTCATTTCTGGCGGAGTTTGGGGGAGAGAAAGAAAGACTTTGGCTGCTTTCCTTGCGTGCAGCCAAAAGCAGAAGAAGAAAGAAGAGGAAAGAAGCAATCCAGTGGCCAGGCCAGGTGTGTGGGGCAAGTTCCCCCCTCCACCCTTTCCCCCCTCCCCTCACTCCCTCGTTTTATTCGCAATGCAAGTGATGCAAGCCTTCTGTTCCTGTGGGCTAAGTGGGCGACGCAGCCTTGTGTTCCTGCGCAGCCTGGATTAATTGCTTTGGGGGTGACATTTCTCTGCGGACCACCAAAATTTTCTCGCGGACCATCAGTGGTCCCTGGCTCAATGGTTGGCGACCGCTGCTCCAAAGCACCTCTGGTTTTTCCTGAACCCCTTTGAGGTCCTCAACCCGCTCCTTTTCTCTCCCCACTGCTCTCCCAGGTGATGTGGTTGCCCAGTCTGGACAGGCACCTGGTCCAAGAAATCGCCCCCGGATTCCAGCAGACCTGTGGCCAGAAGAGGGACGCTCAGCGGTTAAGAGACCGAGGCTGCCAGAAGCTCAACCTGAGATACACCCAGGTCACCCGCGAGGATATCAGGTACGGTTCTCAGCTGGCCCTCTGGTCCTCTGGCCTGCTTTTCAGAGGCAGGGCATGACGGGCGATGGGGCAGTTCCGGAGGTACCGATTAACAGAATAATAGGAGAATTGGAAGGGACCTTGTAGGTCATCTAGTCCAACCCACCCACCGCCCGCCCAGGCAGGAGACCCTAGTACACCACTTCTGGCAGATGCTAGTTCATCTTCTCATTTATGGCCTTGCTAGTCCCTTGCAACTGCACTTCTCAAGACATCCCACCCCTGGCTCTGCATGGATGTAGATACCCTGTTTCCCCCAAATACGGCCTACGTTGAAAGTAAGCCCTAGTTTGAATTTTTTTACACGTGTGCCCAATATAAGCCCTACCCCCCGAAAGATCCCGCCCACTGCAGAGTGGATGGGTATAAATTAAGCTAGGATGGAAATGGGTGGAGCTGCCCTATTACTTACCTTTGGACAGGTGTAGCCGGGCCTCGCACCCCCTGACACCTGCCTCGCCAGCCCATTTCTTCTGCAGCCGGCAAGACTGGCAAAGCTTTCCTGAAGGCCTCTGGAGCTGATAACAAAGCTCTGGTCGATCCTGAGCTCCATTATCTCCCGCAGAGGCCTCCAGGAAAGCCTTGCTGGTCACAGAAGAAGAAGAGGTTCCTGAAGGCCTCTGACAGCGAAAAGGAGGCCGGGGGCGATGGACGCAAGTGAGGTTAGTCAGTGGATGACATCCCCCCAAAATAAGACCTGGTGCCTTTTTTGGGTGGCAAAAAAGATATAAGACAGGGTCTTCTTTTCAGGGAAACACGGTAGGTATACGGTATTGATGACCGCGGGGCAAGGCAGTTTGGTCTAGGGGTTAAGGCACCAGACTAAGAAAGTGGAAGACCATGAGTTCAAATCCTCATTTAACCATGAAAGCCAGGAATGTGAATGAATGAATTATGGTTACTGAGCGGGTGTGGGGATATCCTTCACGTCTTTTTGTGAATCCTTCCATAATATTCTCTCACACACCCTGTCAGTAGTCATAGTTACTGAAGATTATTACTACTTATTACACATACCTGCTGCCTATAGCATAAAGGTGAAGGTTCCCCTTGCACATCTGTGCTAGTCGTTTCTGGCTCTAGAGGGTGATGCTCGTCTCAGTTATAAAGCCGAAGAAGAGCCAGCGATGTCCGAAGACGTCTCTGTGGTCATGTGGCCGGCATGACTAAATGCTGAAGGCGCACAGAACGCTGTTCCCTTCCCACCAAAGATGGTCCTTATTTTTTCTGCTTGCATTTTTTTACATGCTTTCGAACTGCTAGGTTGGCAGAAGCTGGGACAAGGAACAGGAGCTCACTCTATGACGCAGCGCTGGGGATTCGAACCACCGAGCTGCCCACCTTTGTGATCGACAAGCTCAGCGTCTTTGAGCCACTGCGTTCCTCGCTTATCACGTAGAACAGAGGTCTTCAAATTTGATAGCTGTAAGACTTTGTGGACTTCAACTCCCAGAATTCCTCCTCCAGTCAAGTTAGCTCAAGAATTCTGGGAGTTGAAGTCCACAAGTCTTAAACTTGCCACATTTGAAGGCCCTTGGATTAGATAGATAGATAGATAGATAGATAGATAGATAGATAGATGATTGATAAATGATAGAGATGAAGATAGAAGATATAGATAGATAGATAAGATAGATACTGTAGATCAGGGGTCTTCAAACTTGACAGCTTTAAGACTTGTGGACTTCAACTCCCAGAATTCCTCCTCCAGTCATGTGAGCTCAGGAATTCTGGGAGTTGAAGTCCACAAGTCTTAAACTTGCCAAGATGGAAGACCTTTGCCTTTGACAGACCTTCAAGTATTGGAAAATGCTGTCATATCTCCCTTAATCCTTGGGTTAAACATACCTAGTTCCATCAGCCATTCATCATACGATTTAGCCTGCAAACCCCTCATCATCTTCGCTGCTCTTCTCTGCACTCATTCTAGAATCCCAACACCTTTTCCGTCTCTCGCTGTTAAGCAACTGTGGGCAGCTTAGAACATCATCAAAAAAAAAACCTAATATAAAAGCACTGAAACATGGATAGAGGACAAGCAAACGAGGATAGTGGAAAATCTCAGTTTAAACCCTGCAGGTTTGTAATCCGCCGGCTGCTTTTTAAAACTGCTCCTTCCTCTCAATTCCTCCCCTCCATCCTCAAACAGGGAATATGCCAGTGCAAACCTCAGCGTCAATTTGTACCTTGTCAACGAACCGTGGCTGTATTCCCTTCTCTGGTGCATGGGGGTCGAGTCCATTACCTCCAACAACGTGCAGGTCCTCCTTCAGCTGCCTTCCCCCCTCTGGCTGATGGTAAGTGGATTTATAGATTATATATTCAGAATAAAGCCGGAAGGGACCTTTGGAGGTCTTCTAGTCCAACGCCCTGCCCAAGCAGGAGACCCTATACCATTCCAGACAAATGGGTATCCAATCTCTCCTTAAAAACCTCCAGGGAAGTAGCGCCCACAACTTCTGGTGGCAGGTTGTTCCACTGGTTCATCGTCCTCACTGTCAGGAAATTCCTCATTAATTCCAGGTTGCTTCTCTCCTTTTTTTTTTTTTTTTTGTGCATATAAATTTTTTATCTTCATATTTTAAAAAGCATCTCTTTTAACTGAACAGTGTGGTTCCGGGTGTAACGAGTCCAGAAATGGAACGAGAATTCAGATAATATTGTTCAATAAGACATGAGAATATTTAAAGAAAAATGAAACGAGCTACAATATGAATTGAAATGGGATAAAAAGAGCGCAGCGAATATAACAATGCATGAAAATATTTAAAGAAATGTGGAATAAGCAATAATATGATATGGCTTGGATGGGAAAGCTGAATATATAATTATGGTCAGTTTGTATTGAAATGTAAAAAAAAAAAAAAGCCCTGGTTGTGTGAGATCCGTGTATCTGCCATTCTTCAATGGAAGAAGAAGGAGAGGGGGGAAGTTGGTACAAGTAATCCTTTTTGATGTAGCCTGAATATATTAAATCTTATAACTTGCACATGATATACAACTGGAGGACTGGAGCCAGATGTCTAGAAACTTGTCACCTCTTGGGGAGATAGCAAGAGGAGAAGGGACCGTAAAAATTCCAGCTCCAGAAGATACTCCCTGGGAAACTCTTCTAAGATACGTTCGTAGAGAAGAGGAGGGGGGTGGGAATTAACAGGTTTGTTCTTTGTTTGACTAAATCCACATCTAAATAAGGGGAGGGGTTCTAACTCCCTTTATCTATGACTGTATGTCTGGAAGCATCTTAGATTCTGCTTTGACTAGTATCGGGACTGCTTCCTTTCAATAAAGAATTCCTTTGGAAATACTAACTTTCAGAAGTTCGTTCTTTTTCGGTTGAAGGGGAAAAGTCCTGGGCTTACAGGTTGCTTCCTTCCTGCATGAGTTTCTATCCGTTGCTTCCTGTCTTTGCCTTCGGCTGCTTCTGGAAAATAAGTCGACTCCCTCTTCTTTGTGGAATTTGTGGCATTTCAATTTCCATTTCATTTGCGACTGCCGGTGTTATTCCAAAGCTGCATCGGTCGAAGCACAGTTTCCAAATCGTTGAAACTTAACGTTTATATTCCGAAGCTCGAACAAAAGGTGGTCCTGGACTGAACGGCTGTTCATTTTAGTGACTATTCGAAAAAAGGAGATTTATGACGGTTTTTTTCACACTGATACGACCGTTGCAACTTCCCCACAGTCACGCCACCAAAATTCTGCCGCTTGGCAACTCGACTCCTATTTATGACGGCCGCAGAGTCCCGAGGTCATGTGATCGGCCTTTTGCGACTTTCTGACAAGCAGAGTCGATGGGAAAAGCCAGATTCGCTTAACAGCTGGGTTACTAACTTTAACAAATTGCAGGGATTCGCTTAAGAACCGTAGAAAGGAAAGGTTGTAAAATAATGGGACAAAATTCCTTTAACAAATGTCTGGTTTAGGCACAGACATTTTGGACTCGGTTGTGGTCGTTAAGTCGAGGACTACCTGTGCTTTGGCCACCAAATGAGATCAGAAGAGAGAACTCCTCGGAGAAGGTTTCAAGGCTGAGTCCAACCAATTTGAGGATTCGTGTCTAGTTTTTAGCAGTCTTATATGCATCAAAGATAAATTCCTTGTGTGTCCAATCACACTTGGTCAATAAAAAATTCTATTCTATTCTACATTCTATTCCATTCCATTCCATTCTTTTCTGTTCTATTCATTCTTATTCTATTCCACTCTATTTCATCCCAATATTTCTATTCTATTCTGTTCTATTCTGTTCTGTTCTATTCTGTTCTATTCTTCATTCCACTCTATTCTATCTCATTCCAATATTTCTACTCTACTCTACTCTACTCTATTCTTCATTCCACTCCACTCTACTCTACTCTTATTTCATTCCAATGTTTCTATTCTATTCTATTCCATTCTCTTAAGAGCGCCTTCTGCTGTACTTACCAATTTTTTGGGACTGAACGCCCTCTGCTGGCTATTGACTGCTCTGAATCCACATCTGGATTTCTGGCAGTCCCGCACTTTATTTTATTTTATTTTATTTATTTATTTGATTTGACAATCGCTTACAAGATAATAGGCATAAGTATATACGTAGTTATGAATACATGAAATGGATACATATAAGAAAAATAAAAGAAACAATAGGACAGGGACGGTAGGCATGTTGGTGCGCTTATGCACGCCCCCTACAGATCTCTTAGGAAAGGGGTGAGGTCAATAGTAGACAGTCTAAGGTTAAAGTTTTTGGGGTTTGGGGAAGAAACCACAGAGTCAGGTAGAGGATTCCAGACATTGGCCACTCTGTTGCTGAAGTCGTATTTCCTGCAATCAAGTTTGGTGCGATTAACCTTGAGTTTGTACCTATTGTGTGCTCTTGTGTTGTTATGGTTGAAGCTGAAGTATTCATTGACAGGTAGGACATTGCAATGTATGATTTTATATACCATAGTTAGATCAGATCGAAGACGGCGTAATTCAAGGTTTTCTAGGTCTAGAATTTCAAGTCTGGTGGCATAAAGTATTCTACAACGAGTAGAGGAGTGGACTTTCTCCAGAAGTTGTGAATGTTCTAACACTGGAGGTTTTTAAAAAGAAATTGGACAACCATTTGTCTGGAATGGTAGAAGGTCTCCTGCCTGAGCAGGGGGTTGGACTAGAAGACCTCCAAGGTCCCTTCCAACTCCATTATTGGGAGTTGAAGTCCACAAGTTATAAAGGGGCCATTGTTCCCTACCCCTGCACTAGGTAAAGTGTCAAAACTGATTTATACATCTGGCTGACTATGCAACAAGGCAATTTCAGGTAGTCCTCAGGTTACGACCACAATTGAGTCCAAAGTTTCCATAACTTAAGCGAGACGGTTAATTTTTACCCCATTTCCTAACTTCTACTGCAGTTATGAAGTTAATAACACAGATCTTAAGTGTGGTGACCCAAAGGGGCCTAGCACAAAGGCAACAGTCAAATAATCGAGAAGAGTCCCTTTATCATCTTCAACTTTGCCCTCAATGTCCAGGTTAGCTTCTGGCTGGGGAAAAACTCCCAGCAACAGCCTTTAACTGTAGAAAATTCAGTCCAAAACAGGGTAAACATAAACTGTAACTTAAATTCCAAACAAGCCAAACTGAAATAATTAGTTTGGCAGGGCAGGAGCAAGAATTTCAAACTTGAAAGTACGGCAAAACTCACACAGTTGGGAAGATGCCAGGAACACAGATAAGCCATTATGATACCAGATAAATTCACATTTGCTCCCAACAGTGCTGTGTACAGCTTTCTTTTTTATAAACTGTGTTCCCAGGTGTGGCTAATGAAGGGAATCGGGGCCCTTTCCTCCCCCGTAAGCCATGCAATTCAAGTTGCTCCCTTCTCCATTCCTCCCTGTGTGCCCTAGGATGAAGAGAGGGTGGGCCTGGGTCTTCCTCCAAATTCCCTCTCCCTTGTTCTACCTCTTCCCTGCTCTGCCCAGCTGGACTTTGCCCTTCCCCAGTTTCCTCCACAGCCAACGGAGCCACACTCCCGCTCCCTGTCAGCTGTTCAGCTTCCTCCTCGCATTCAGACTCCAACAGGGGCATGACATTAAGTGAATCATGCGTCCCCATTGATTGCTCATCTGAAGGTTGCAAAAGGGGATCGACCGTCATAAATATAAGCCAAGCATCTGAATCTTGATCATGTGACCATGGGGATGCTACAGTGGTCGAAAGTGTGAAAAACGGCCCTAAGAATTTTTTTTCTGCGTGATTGTAACTTCAAACTAAAAGAATGGTCGTAAGTCAAGAACTACCTATATTAAGGATTGTTTGGAGTTTGTAATTTCCTAATGGAACCCTTGATGGCACCTTGAAGTTCTACAGGAGTGATAACTAGCACTTTTGAGAGGTTTGTCTTAGGAGCAAGAATTAATTCAGTAAAATTCAAGAACCTTAAAAGTTGTAGCTTGCCTGTGAGTGTCTCTTTACTAAGTGTGTCAGTGTCTTTAAAATTTGGGCAATTTTAAGATACGTGGACTTCCAACTCCCAGAATTCCCCTGCCAGTATGGCTGCCTAG